TTAGGCCACTTCTATTTTCATGGTCTCATATCTTACTGAACTAATGTATATATGTATGTAAATATCGGTGGTCCCTGCAATAACTATACAATTCAAAATACAACAAGTAATTTTTAGCAAGAAAAAACCGACTTCAACTCTCATATAAAAAAAAAATATATATATATATATCTCATGATCCACTGATCGGATCTTAACCAGATTAGTATGGAACCACCTCTGAAACACTACCTTTCCGATGGAAAAAGAATTATCGGTTGACGTGGTCCAAAGTTATGCGGTAACATACATAAAAAAAAAAAAAAAAAAAAAATATTCCGACGAACTGATAACCTCCTCCTTTTTTGGAAGTCGGTTAAAAAATGAAAACACTTACTCCTTTTAGGTGGTTCATGTCTCAAAGCCTTGTCTAATCCATGTCTCATCATCCTTACGATTTACTGTGGTAATCCTTACTACTTACTTTAGTAGACATGGATTGATAATGAGGGGAGAAGTGAGCCACTTAAAAGTAGTAAAAGATTTTATATTTTGAATTTTGAATTGTGTTTTTTTTTGCAGAGGACCACCGATATGTATAATAAATGAAATCAAACCAAAAATTGGAATTTCTAATTTCTTTGAGAAACTTTCCGTATATTTTCAATGTTCTTGACGAGTTGATTATGTCTGAAATATTTGAGAGCATTCTTCTTTTTTAATAAACCCTTAATTTCTTAACAAATTTCTGAGTTAAAAACTTTTTGATACGCAAAAATTTTAGAGTTCGAGAAATTTTAAAACATCGTTTCGGGAATTATTCGAACAATGCTATGACCTATACCGTAGGTCACTCGAAATGTTTTTCACAGGGATGTATCTAGTGTAATTTAATCTACTGAAGACTGTAGAGATTGTAAAGCTTTTTTAAGATTTTGGTATCCAAAAGACAGAAACGCGTTCCTCTAATTCTTATTCATGACTTAAATAAACTCGATTGGGTTTTTTTTCAAGAAATTGAAGTACATTATGGAATTGATTTTGGGATTTTTGAGTGAGTTCTGTTTTTTTGGGCTTGCGGTTAACGGATTTTTATTGTTTTATTCCTTGTATTTCATTTTTTACGATTTATCGAACATTTTTCGGTGTCTTGCCGAATATTTCGAGTTTTCAATTTCAAGATCATTTCGGGAATTTGTGGTATTTTTTGGCACTTTTCGGGATTGATCATGCTTTATTTTTAGAGATATTTCGGGACTTTTACCAAACACTA